CACCCCGCATTGTCTTTGTTGCCTAGAATTTGTTTTGCTATTCTGGGTCTCTTCTGGTTCCATGTGAATTGTACGATAGTTTTCTCTAGTTCCGTGAGGAATGCTGTTCGTACAGAGGCACCTCAGTTCGCAAACTTAATTCATTCTGGAAAAAATGGCCACAGTCATGTTCATGCAGGGAAGGTGGCCATGGTCATGTTCGTCACCTGATGCAGAGTTCGCAAACTAAAATTTTTGACAAATGCTCCTGTTTGCAAATCAGGTTGTTCAGAAATAAAAGCATTCATGAATTGAGTTACCACTGTATTTTGCTTGGGATTGTATTAAATTGGTATACCAATTTTGCAAGTATGGCCATTTTCACTACATTGGTTCTCCCTATCCAAGAACAGGGGATATCTTTCCATTTTCTGATATTCTCTTCCATCTCCTTTTTCAGAATACTATAGTTTTCAATGTATAGGTCTTTCACTTCCTTAAGTATTTCATTTTTGCTGATTCTGTTGTGAGAAGTGTGGCTTCCCAAATTTCTTTCTCAAGTTTGTTGTTTGTGTACAGGAAGGCTACTTATTGATTTTTGTTTTGTTTTGTTTTGTTTTTAATCTTTTTGAGACAGGGTCTCATCATGCAGTTTAGGCTGGACTTGAGCTCACTTTGTAGCCAGGCTGGTCTCGAACTGGCAGAGATCCTCCTGCCTCAGCCTGCTAGTGCTGGGATTACAGGTGTGCACCACCACATCTGGCTCTATTGATTTTTGAGTGTTGACTTTGTATTCTGCTTTGCTACTGAATTTGGTTATTCTAGGTGTCTTTAAAACATTATGTCACCTCAAATAATAATAATTTAACTTCTTTCTTTCCTATCCATATTCCTTTTATTTCTTCCTCCTAGTTGCTCTGGTTAATGTTTCCAGAACTGTACTGAGCAAGAGTGGTGATAGTGGGCATCCTTGTCTCGTTCCTAATTTTAGAGTGAAAGCTTTCAGTTTTTGTCCACTTAGCATGATATTGGCTGTTGGCTTATCATAGACGGTTTTTTGGTTTTTTTTTTGTTTTGTGTTTGTCTTTTTGAGACAGGGTCTCACTATGTAGTTCAGACTGGCCTTGAGCTCATTCTGTAGCCCAGGCTGGCCTCGAAATCATAGTGATCCTCTTGCCTCAGCCTCCTGAGAGCTGGGATTACAGGTGTGCACTGCCACACCCAGCTAGATGGTTTTTATCAGCTTGAGATAAAGACCATCTGTTCCACTTTTCTGTGTGGTTTTCATCATGGATGGGTGTTGGGCTTTTTAAAATGCTCTTTCTGTGTGTATTGAGATAATGAGTGGTTTTTCTCCTTCATTCTGTTAATGTGGTGTATTACATTTGCATTCATTGAACCATCCCTGCATCCTTGGTATGAGTCTTACTTGGTCATGGTGTATAATCTTCTTGATGATTTGCTGCATTCTGTTTGCCAGGATCTTATTGAGGATTTTTGCCTTTGTGTTCATTAAGGAGATTGGCCTGTAGTTCTCCTTTCTGGTTGGCTCTTTCTCTGGTTTTGGTGTCAGGGTAATGCTTGCTTCTAGGAATGTGTTTGGGAATATTGCTTCCCTTTCAATTTCATTAAAAAGTCTGAGGAGTATGGCATTAGAGCTTCTTTAAAGTTCTTACGGAATTGAGCAGTGAATTCATCAGGATCTGGGCCTTTCTTTGTTGGTAGTTTTTTTTTCTTCAGTTTCATTGACTGATACTGTTTTTTATATTGGGTTTTATATCTTCATCTTTGGTGATTCATACTTAACTAGGAATCTGTCCATTTTTTTCTGAATCTTCTATATTAGAGTACAGGTTCTCAGAGGAGGTATTGATCATCTGGATTTCTGCAGGGTCTGTTACAAGCCAACTCTTCAATTTATTGGTTCTTCATACTTTTTTCTGAGTCTCAATTGCATTAATTTTTTGCTCTGATCTTTATAATTTCTTCCCTTGTATGCCCTTTGAATTTAATTTGCCCTTCTTTTTTTAGAAGCTTGAGGTTCAACTTCAACATTAAGTTATTTATGTGAGCTTGTTCTATTTTTCTGATTGGGGAATTCAGCACTGTAAAGTCCCCTCATTGGACTTTCATTGTGTCTCGTAAGTTCTGGTTTGTCATATTGCTGTGGAACACTCTGTGGATATCTACTCAGTTTATTTGTTCAGAGGTTTGGTTCAGCTCAGATAGTTCTTTGCTGATTTTCTTTCCAGTTTATCTGTTTGAGACAGTGGGATATTAAGATTCCCCCATTATAATTGTACTAGTGCTTATCTGGGGTTTTGTTTTGTTTTGTTTTTGTCTTTTCGAGACAGAGTTTCACTATGCAATTCAGGCCTTGAACTCACAACAATCCTCCTGCCTCAGCCTCCTTAATGCTAGGATTACAGGCATACACCACCACACCCAGTGCTTCTTTGGTTTTTGATATCTGTTAATGATTGTTTTATATAGATGGCTGCCCCAGTATTTGGTTCATCTATGATTGTTATTTCTTCTTGAATTGTTCCCTTAACAAGTATGTATTGACTTTCTTTGTCTTTTCTGATCAGTCTTGGCATGAAAACCAATTTGTCTGTAAACAGAATAGCTACCCCTGTTTTTTCCGGGTTCCTGTCACATGGAGTATTGTTTTCCATCTTTTTATTGTCAGTCTGTGAATTTCTTCATGGGTTAAATGTGTTTCTTGTATAAAGCATATTGTTGGTTCTTGTGTCTTCATCCATTCTGGCAGTCATTCTTTTGGTGAATTGAGATCATTAACTGTGATGGTTGTTACTGATCTGTATTGACTTATCCTTGTCATATTAATTTCCTGTTGTTCATTGATCATTAACTGTGATGGTTATTACCTGTATTGACTTATCCTTGCCATATTAATTTCCTGTTGTTGGTTCCCTTTCTTTCCCTTCTGCTTAACTGCTTCCCTTGCCTCGTGAATTCTAGTATCAAGACCTCTTTTAGAAATTACTATTTTTCAGAGATGTCTTCTGGGTTTAGCTTTTGGCTTTTGAGTTTGTCTCAAGATCCTGCCTGTTCAATTTATTAGGAATAAAAGGTGCAGCCTGTTTGGCCTAGCATCACGTTCTCTGGTACTGGACTAGAGTATTGCTTATGACCCCCAGACAATCTAGGTACTGGCAGACAAGATCAATTGATCATAACAACTGTGTCACCTTGGCTGAAGTAGTACAATCAGTAATAACAATAACATCAAGCACAGATTGGAAAATGACAAACTATTGTAGTCAGGTTTTACAAGGGAAACAGTTTAATACAGGACACATAATTTATAGGATTATTTTATAATAGTTAAACAGTCAGATACAAAAGAGTACAGGAAGTCTGTCCACACACTGAAGATCCAAAGAATCCAGCTGAGGGCCTTGATCCCGCAGCAATGTCCTGCATGAGTCAATCTCTAAAGACCGAGAGCACATGACAATGCCCTTCATGAGTCCAACTGGAGGTCAAGAGCCCATGACAATGTCTCATGCAAGTCTCTATCAGGAATGTGCACTGGGAAGGCCCAAAGATCAGTGGTGGAAGCTAGAAAGTCTGTGCCAGTGGGCTGAGAGATCTGCACTGGAACCAGAAAGTGACAGCGCCCCACTCCCCCAAAAAAGAACCACAGCCGTCCTCAGCAACAGTGAGGTTCTGAGCTCCTCTGATGATGAGAACAGCTAAGTTTATATCGGGAAAGCCAGCATGACAAGCTGCATCTTTTTACTGTCAGTAAAAAGAACCAACAGCACCAGCTCTTCCTGTGCAGTTCTCCTTTTTATGTTGTTAGCAACAACCCTCAGATGGGCCCTCCACATCTAGTACCATGCTGATACAGTTCAGCTGGTTGTTACAAGTTGATCACCAGTTGTCAATGCACTACATAATTATTAATTTGTGGCCTTTTAACCATAGCTACAAGACTTATAGATATATAACAAAATCTAAAACAAATCAGAAAATTTTATACACTAAATATCCACTCGAGAGAGCTATTTTACCCTAAGGGGAGAAAATTTAAAAAGGGATAAGAGGAAAAGATAGAGAAATAAGAGAAAGAGATTAGAAGCAAGGCTGGATGACAAAGGAGGATTACTCAAGCCTTGGGAAACTGGTGAAGAAGACAAGAAGGAAAGAAAGAAGGAAACAAGAACAAAACAAACAACTGGATGTGGTGGCACATACTTGTAATCCCAGCACTCAGGAGGCTGAGGCAGGAGGGTTGCCGCTAAGTTCCAGGCCAGCCTGGGCTACATAATGAGTTCCAGGCCAGCCTGAACCACACAGTGAAACCCTGTCTCAAAAAATTATTTTAAAATTTTCAAGAAAAACACCAAAAGCCAAAGAAAAGATAAAAAAAAATAACCTATAAAATAGCAGAGTGCCTCATGAGCAGATAGTCATCCATAACCCATGTGATGGCCTCCTAAAGAGTTGTGGTAAAGCCACTTGAGCATTATTTTTCCAGATCACACACCTGCACTTCTAGCTTCATGATTCTGATACCTGACAATTACTGGAAATTCTTTGGGTATAAATTCTCTTGGTCTTGTGACCCTAAAATAAAGCAAAAATTCGCTACTATAATGAGAATTCATTTTAGGTTTAACTTATATTTTGTTTGGACCAAGCCAAGTTCCTTCCTGGAATCTTTTAAGTAAGGGTTTAGGAGTTTATCCTTTCATCAATATTTTGTGGGGTGCCCTTCTCACCTGCCTCGTGCTGTGGACTGAACCCACATCTATCCCTGAGCTGCCCTCCCAAGCGTTGTGGTGTCCGTTTTGAACCCTTGAGTGGAGCTGACCGGAGGCTGACTGCACTCCCTTGAGCCAAAGGGAACGCTTGTTGGCCGTTTGTTTGCTCTTCATACAGAACTGAAGGTGTCTCCAATTGAAGTGAATAATGTTAAGAATCTCCTCATTTTCTCTTGGCTACGTGTTTGTGTTTTTGAGTCTAATACAGTTCTTTCGATTCTGCAGTGTCTCACGTGGGAGCCTCCATGTCATCGGCTTCCTCCGACACTGGAATGAGTCCCTCCTCGTCATCGCCCCCACAAAACGTCCTTGCCGTAGAATGCAGGTGATACACATTTCCTCTGCCTTCCAGCGATGTGCTGCCATGGACATAGCTTCCACAATCCCAATGGACAACCACAGAAAGCACTCAGCTGGTTTCACATTGCTAAGTAGATCCTGTACACTTCCCCGGACTGGATTTATCTGTTCCCTCCTGTCTTGTTTTCCTTGTTGCAAAACCAAGCTGATAAATAATTGAAGGTTAGGCAGCCTGCCATATTTGTCAGAAGTTTCCCTCTTCATTTCTTTTTCATTTTTGGTGATACAGAAAAAAGGGCACTTAGCAAATTTGAATTTGTATGATAAAGCTTTCAGGTGTTACTGAAATCATAGACAAGCAAGTGCACATGATAAACACCAACATCTTATCCAGCTGAATAGTTACTGCTGCACTTTCACTAGGATGTGTTTGGACACTTGGTGAGTGGGGGGTTTATATTTTGTTTTTTATTGTTGTTTTTTTTTTTTCTAGTGGAAGCACTTGCTTTTTAGAACTGCCAAAGTCGATGTTCAGCAGCGTGCCCAGGTTTAAAGGTGTAAATGGGACAAAATAAATTGTGAAAGGAAGTGTAGTTGACTGAAAATTACAGTGGTAATAAGTCTTCCACTTTTTATAGGACTTTTGAGCACACAATTATGCAAATATTTTAATGTTTATTAATGTGTACAGTGGAATTGTGAATAAGTTTTCAGTGGACTATCTTATCCCTTGACAAAAATATTTTGTCTTTTTTCTATGTAATTTCAGAGTTTTTATTTTGTTACAAAAATACAAAAATGAAATATATAACAACAATGAAGTTATTTAACAAGATTTCTAAAGCTGAAATTTTTGTGTAAAATAAGGTATTATCTTGCAACTTGTTAAATATATTTATTCAGACATTGGATGTTGTATTTTTATGTATTTTTAAAAATATTAATAAAATGGAAAAAAAGACACCTCTAGGTTAATTCACTCTTTGGATGACACTAGCTTGCAGCTGTCCGTTTTTCAGGCGGGTGCGTTCAGTAACCCCACCTGTGCAAGGGGGTCTGTCCTGCAAACAGAGCAGAACTGTAAACGGGCATCTGGGTTGTTAAAGTGAGTCGTTAATTAGAAACTTTGGCAGTCCTAGTATTTAAACTTTCTTGAGGATCAAAGCTTGGTTGCCCTTAAACTGCTTTGTCACAGCGTTTATGTTTGCTATACTGCCGAATAAATTTATATCTCCCGAAGTTGAGATGCAACAAATAAGTAAAGCAATTATGTATGCTTTGTCTGTGAATTGTTCCACAGACTGATACATCTTGTAAATAATTCTTCCACAACCATGTATTTAAAGCAGTTTTGCATATACATTATGTAAAAAGGTGATTTTTTTAAGAGCAATTTTTAAATTCATGTTTATACATTGAGAAGGTTTTTTAAACCTCCTTTTCTGTGTTTCATATGCTGTAGAGTATTGATCTAGATGCTCTAGATTGTATATCACGATCTTATTTACAAGGACAAAGTCAGAGCTAACCCTAGTGATGGCACATAGCTTACTGATATCATTGTTTCCTAAGTTCACTTTACCATATTGTGAATTTGTGATTCAGATTCCTTCCATCTTCTCAAAGAATTAAAAACAAAAAAGTACCCTTGTAAAATGCACTTTTCTGTCTTTTCTTTGCAAAGCAGAAGTATTTCAATGTAAAATAAAAATGGAGCTCAGCGGTCAGTATTAATAAAGGCCATGTTTTAAACATAGGCTTTATATTTTCAGTTTTCATTTAAATGATTGCTTTTTCCCAAATGTCAGTAACTTATAATTGAAAATCAGATTTCACAAAAGGAAGCATTAGGGGCTGGGGATTTAGCTCAGCGGCAAAAGCGCCTGCCTGGCAAGCGCAAGGTTGTGAGTTCGGTTCCCAGTACCGGAGAAAAACCAAAAAAAAAAAAAAAAAGGAAGCATTCCACTGTATTCCTCAGTCTTTACAATAAATATTTCTAGAATTTAATTATAAAAATGAAAAAGTGTCATTTAAATCTAGTTGAAACTAGCAGTCTTAAATTTATATATTAGATATTTTAATGATTTCCTTCAGTAGCAATATAATAAATCTAAGACAACTAAGTTATCAGTTTGAGTACTGACTCTGGTTAATTGATACAAATTTAGTAGTGAAGTATTGGAATGTTGCTATAGAGAGTAAAATTGCATATTCATTGAAGAGGTATATAAACATTGCTTAAATCCTTTTATTTGGAGGCTGGAAAAGATTATGAAATTAAGTGAATATTGCTTAGGCATTGCAGTTCAAATATTGGGAAACTTTTGATATCTCTTGCATATGACTAAGAAAAAGTATAAAGACACTATCTAAAATTAAAGGTACTATTTATAAAAATCATGATAATTATTTATTTATGTAATTTTGGTACTGGGAATTGAACTCACAAACTTGCCAGGCAGGTGCTGTGCCACTGAGCTATATCCTCAGCCACCAAATGTCATATTTAAAAGGCTGTGTAGCTTTCTGTTTTAGTATTCCATTGTGTGATTTTGTTGTTTTTGTATTAAATTTATAGTTTTCCTATCCTTAAGAAAGACAGTTTAAAAAAAACAAAGAAAGTTGTACTTAGCCCATTTTAAAAGAGCACACTACCTAAGCCGGCCATGGTGGCACACACCTGTAATCCCAGCACTCGGGAGACTGAGGCAGGAGGATTGCTATGAGTGTGAGGCCAGCCTGGGTTGTAAAGTGAGTTCAAGGCCAGCCTAAACTACATAGTAAGACCTTGTCTCAAAGAGACAAAAAAAATTTTAAAGTATAAAATAAATAAAAGGCCACTACCTACTGCATCTGAAAATGATTTGGTTTATACAAATCTATTAGGAATCACCTATTCATTTGCTGTGTACCTTTATTAATGCCCTGTGGTTTGACATAGCTATCACTTTGTGAAGATACTCAAAACTATATTCAACGACACAAAATCTATTAACCACAATTAATTCATCAGTCATTTATTATTTTCTGTGAGGCAGGCAGTATGCTAATTATGCTAAGACCCAGGAACAACAGCAGACAAGACACAAGTTCCCCGTTCTCATGGGAAGTGTAGTCAGACGGGCTGCACGTTAAACAGGTAACACGGCGTTCTCCACTGTAGGCCTGAGAAGCCTGTGAGCTTACAGTGCCTGGAAATCATGATTCAGAGCCCAGCGAGAACGGAGGCTGGGAGGGCTTTGCAGAGAGTTGACCATCCATTGAGCACCAGCGAGGTCGCGAGTAGTAGTGACCCGTGAAGAGTGGCGGATGGCACGGTGTCGGGAGCACGCAGGGGAGGAAAGGTCGGCAGGAGTCAGCGCCAGAGCGGGCCTGCGCAGGAGCAGGTGAGCCGGGCGGAGCAGGTGGCCCCGGACTTGCGCTGCCTTGCTCCGCCTTCGCTCTTCTGTCCCCCTCCTGCCATCCCTGCCTGCCTTGAGCTCTCTCAGGAGCCACTTCACCCAGAAGTTGCTGCTGACTGTTGACCACCACCCAGTCCCACCCTCTTTATGCCCTGGTGTCTTTAGTGGCAGCTGACCTCCTGTTCTGTGAGCGTGGATGTTCCTGCGCTACTCGAGGATTCGTTTACTAATGCTCCTCAGTCATAGGTGTGGCCCAGGAAATGCCCGGCCTGCCATCCAACACACAGTACGCTGCTCAGAAAGTGTTTCATTAAATTGAGAAAAATTACTTTCAAATGCTATTGTTTCTGCCTTTTTTTAAATTGGTCATCCTTATGTAGAAAGCAAGACGTTTAAGTCTTCAGTGTTCCTTTTACAAAGTGATAATGTTAAAATACCATGTGAGAAGTGCAGTCTCATCTCTTACTTAAATATTCCTTAGCTGGTGAGTTATGTTTGCCTTCTCCCATCCAGTTTCTGTGTACACACAGGTGTCCATCCCATCACAGGAAGAGCCCCGTGTGACAGCTTGTCATTAGTGAAGGCCGACTCACTCAGAATGGAGTTAAGGAGGAATTTCCACATGCACATAGTCTTTTGAGAGTAGAAAATTTTGTCAGTTCTTTAAATTTTTTTTACAAAATCGAATTATTTTCAGTGTTATAAGCACAAAACACCCTTTTTATTTGTGTACACCCACTGTGTACCTTTAAATAAAGCAGGGCAGTGCTTATAATGTTGGTATTTGTAGTTAACAGAATTACAAGGCTCTCTTCACTTTGTCCTCTGATGCCTGCAGAATGCATTTGAGAAGTGGTGGTGTGGAAAGCTGAAGGAACTTCATGGAAATACGCACAGGCTGTCTGAATCAGGTCGCCGGTGCAGGGCTGCCACAGCCAGCAAGTACAGACCCAGTTAAATGTGAGTCTTAGCCAAACAAAGTAATTTCTAGCATCAGTGTGTCCCAGGGAAAACACTCTCACTGAAATTCAAGTGTAACTATTTTAACTGTGACCCCTACACTAGTTTCTCTTCTGTCACTTCCCAAGACATATTTATTGTCGTCTAAAGGAACTTTTTTGGTCTCTGATGGAAGATAACAAACTGCTGGAGTTTCTCTTAGTTTCCAAGGGCAGGCCACAGTTGATTTTTAACAGTCTTGAAGGGGCATGATCTCCAGGACTGACCCTGTAGATAACATGAGGCTAAGTTCTGTCCAGCGGTAGTGAGTGTACACAGATTTCTGTGGGCACGTTCTCTGGATGGCCACTGTTCCAGTGGGGTGCTCCTCTTT